TCCAATGTCATTCAGTGGCTTTCATGGCTAAAGAGGAACTAGAACTCACTGTCTCCTGGTGATTAGCCCAATGTCATTCAGTGGCTTTCACGGTTTTCAACTGCTGGCTCAAAGTCCCCCGTGGAGCTTCTGGGATTGAAGGTGACCTTCATACTCTCCGTAGTCTGGAGCCTCCGTCCCAAAGTCCTTCTGCCTGTTGTGTGCTTTGCAAAGAGGGTCGTCTGTAAGATCATCTTCAGCGTCCGCCTTGAGGAAGGTTTTAGGAAAGTAACCATGGAAACCATCTGTCACCTTCCCGGGGATTAGCTCCCCCTTGCAGGCATGGAGGGCATGGACAGAGTGGCAGCTGGAAAGATCAAGGCCAGCTTTCTTCTCAACCCGGCTGATTATCAAACCAAATAACGCCTGGCGCCATCCTCATGCAAAGCGACTGCAGTTAGTCCTGGACTTAACAACCATTCGTTTAGTGCAGGGGTGCCAAGCTCGTTCTCATTGAGGGCCGCGTCAGAGTTGTGTTTGACCCGGGATGGCGGGAGGGGGCTGAGGAGGGCGTGGCCAGGGGGCATCTCAATGCCACTCGTGTCTGGCAGGGGCCCCTGTGGCCAAAGGTAAAGGTTCTTCCCCTCGCACATCCGGTTTCAAGTCTATATGCTTCTTTTCATTTTTTCCAACCACATGCGGATTTTAGTCCAATATTTTCTAGCATCCTCACAAGTCCACCACATATGGTACTTTGAACCAGGTTTCTGATGACATGTCCAACATTTTTCCGATTTGTTCTTGAACATTCTTGCTATCCTTGTCGGGGGGAAGTGCCACCTGTAAAACATCTTATACAAGTTTTCTTTATAAGCTGTAGACATTGTCATTTTATAATTTTGCAACCATAATTTCTGCCATTTCTCTAAGTCAATCCCATATCGAAAATTCCTCCCCCAGGCAATCATAGTTTCTTTAACTTGTTCTTCCTCTAATTTAATTTCCAATAAGTAACCATATAATTTTTTAATCACCTTTTCATCGGTACCCATCAAAATTTTATCTAAATCAGTCTGTTTATCATAAAATCCCTCTGTTTGGAATCCTCATCAAACCTCGAGTGTATTTGCACATATGAAAACCAATTCATCTGTATACCTTGTTCCTCTAATTTTTGTATCGATTTAAGTACACCCTTTTCATCTAGTAATTCCCCATATCTAACTTCCCCTCGCACATCCATGCTCGTCGGTTCTGGCTTTAGGGGGCGGTGCTCATCTCCGTTACAAAGACGAAGAGCCAAAGATGTCTCTGTAGTCATGTGGCGCGCAGGACTCAACGCCTTTGAAGGCGCGCGGAACACTGGACCCTTCCCACCGAAGGGGTCCCTATTTTTCTACTTGCATTTTCTCTGACGTGCTTTCGAACGGCTAGGTTGGCAGAAGCTGCTTGGGACAAGGAACGGGAGCTCACTCCGTGACGCGGCGTGTGGGGATTCGAACCGCCGAACTGTCGACCTTTCTGATGGACAAGCTCAGCCTCTTAGCCGCTGAGCCACGGCATCCTGCACCCGTGGTGGCCAAGTCCTAAGAAAAGACTTCCCTCAGACCCAATACCTCCAGAGGTGGTGGATTCAGCAGGTTCTGACCAGTTCTGGAGAACCGATAGCGGAAATTTTGAGTAATTCAGAATCCCACCTTTGACCAGCCCTGCCCCCATCTATCCTCTGCCTCCCGAGTCCCAGCTGATCGGCTGGGTCTTCTTTGGTTGCCCTGCACAGGAGAACGGAGCTGGAAAGCAGGTTAGTGGGGTGGGGAGGGAATGGGGATTTTGCAGTAACCTTCCCCTGCCATGCCCACCAAGCCACACCCACAGGACCCGTAGTAAAAAAAATTGAATCCCACCACTGCCTCCCTCCCTCTCATTATAATCTTTCTTCCTTTCCTTTCCTTTCCTTTCCTTTCCTTTGCTTCCTCTCCTTTCCTTCCTTTCCTTTCCTTCCTCTCCTCTTCTCTCCTCTCCTCTCCTCTCCTTTCCTTTCCTTTCCTTTCCCTCCCTTCCTCCCTCCCTTCCTTTCCTTTCCTTTCCTTTCTTTTCCTTTCCTTTCCTTTCTTTTCCTTTCTTTTCCTTTCCCTCCCTTCCTCCCTTCCTTTCCTTTCCTTTCCTTTCTTTTCCTTTCCTTCCCTTCCCTTCCTTTCCTTTCCTTTCCTTTCCTTTCCTTTCTTTTCCTTTCCTTTCCTTTCCTTTCCCTTCCTTTCCTTTCCTTTTCCTTCCTTCCTTCCTTCCTTTCCTTTCCTTTTCCTTCCTTCCTTCCTTCCTTCCTCCCTCCCTCCCTCCCTCCTTTCCTTTCCTTTCCCTTCCTTTCCCTCCTTCCCTCCGTCCCTCCCTTCCTTCCTTCCTTCCTGGACTAGAGTAGAATAGAATAGAAGATATGGAATGGAATGGACTAGAAACTTATGTATATGCCTTTTTTATTATTATGTTTTTTGGGGGGAGGGGTAGTTGTTATAATCTCTTTGGAAAAATGGTAGTAGATGATGAGCTTTTAAAGTTGTATCTTCAGAAGTTAGAAAGAGGCCCTGATGTTACATTCCTTAATGCTAAGAAAGATGCCACGTAGGCAGCCAAAGTAAGAGGTATGGACAGAGGGGTACGGATGAGAACATAACGGAACGAGACAATTCTCTCTGGAGACATCCTACGATTAGCTGCAACACCTGAGGGCAAATCCCGTGAGTTTGAACTTGGGAGGGAATGAGTCTCGAAGAAGGAGGGAATTTGGGTGACGAGATGAAACTGGATATAAAGTACGTTTTGAGGTTCTAAAGGGGTGGCTTTGGATTTTGAACCAGTTTGTTGAGGTTCCAAAGACCTCCAGCGCTTTGCAAAACCGCCTGTTATTTCTTTTTAATAAATCCTCTTTGTTTTCAACGATCCAAGTTTTGTTGTTGTTGGCCTTGAGTTATTTCCAACACCCCCTTTCCCCCTGGGTGTCTCCACAACCAGATTCTCCCATTGAGCACATTCATGGGCTGGGTGTCATCAATCACGTTTTCTAGGGGTGGGATTCTACCAGTTCGCACCTATTCGCTAGAACCGGCTGTTAACATTTCTAAGCAGTTCGGAGAACCGGTTGTTAGAAGAAATTACTGGGCTAATCCTGTAAGGAAGGCAGGAAGGAAACATTCTGGTGTCGCTTACAGA